CAGCCAAACATGATACTTCTAATACTTCTGTATTAGAAGTTTAGCTACTTGAATAATTGGACTTATTTATAGAAGTTATACAGAAATTACATTTCTTTTTTGGATAATTTTATATTAAGGATCCAGAAGGTTTATCCATGGCAAGGTTTTGGTTTTGGCTTGTCATTGTCAGGTAATGCCTGTTGCTTCACTTGCTGTGTGTGCAAGTGAAATCTGGCATCATTTTTAGAATCTTCTCCTTTGTGTATGGATCAAGTAATCTCTGAATTTCTGTCTGATGCTTTGTAAGATTTACAGTTTGACCTTTAAATTTCTGAGAACAAATTATCAAGAATCTCTACTTTATGCCAAAAAATGGTGCTAGAAAATACTTTGTCATGGAAAAATACCTCTCCAGTGAGTTGGAAAGAATTTGTCATTTGAGTAGTTTGAAAATAAAATTACCTCTTTACAGTGACTGAAACAGTTTCTCCTTTTCAGTGGTCTTTTAGAGAGCCAAAAGCTGTTTTCTTTAAAATTGACAACTACTGGGTAATACAGCTGAAGGTTCCATTTAATAACTTGCCCTGATTACCAGGTAAGTGTCTGTATGTTCAGATAGGTGCATTAATGTACATTAAAGCAAATCAGAGTGCCTACACACTCCAAAACCTCAAAACCCTCATTGCTCTTTTAACACTCAAAACTTAACAAAGAGCACAACATAAACCAGTATTCCTATCTTCCTTAAATGTTATACTTGCTTGTTCTGAATAGTTCTTGTTTACAAAAAGCTTTATCACTTTGCAGAGATGGGATCCCTGGATGGCAAGTATCCTGTGAATAGCCCAAGTTCTCAATAACTGAGGATGAAGAAGAATGTCCTGTTCTTTACAGATTATTGCCTTAAGCTGGACACTTTGGGTGTCCCAGCTATATTCTATATTAGCTATATTAGCAAGCTTTTACAGCTTCCTTCACTTGCCTCATTAGGTATGGTTGCCATTCAAATCTCTCTTGAGATGCTGTTTTTCTCCATATGTGTGGCTGAACATGAGGAAGGTCAATTTGTCATATCCAATTACTCCTTTCCTGATGCAGTCCACTGAGCTTACAATTTTTGTATCAGCATTTCTCAGTGGAGTGAGTTCTGCAGCTGGAGTTCTCTGCTGATACCGTTCCTTCACGTTCCTTCTACTGTTTATCTTTTTCCACATCTTCAGCATCTTGATTAAATATCTCTAGACTGGTAGAAGAGACTGAGTTTGCTCCTTCATTTGTAATATCAGAAGTCTTCAAGAGTGGGAATTAAGTTGTGCCAACAAACTCTTTCTAGAAGATACAAAGTTTTGAGCTTATGGGCTTGTAATTTTTCCTATTATTCTGAGCATGAGATGGCAGCACTCTGGAATTACATGTTCTCAATGATTTCATTCTCTCCTGCCGACATACTTGTATCATGAAATATTTGGGGAAAAAATAGTGGGTTTATATTGTTCTGAATTATATTTATAGAAGCTTCTACATAAAACTAATATAACATGAAGAATAATTTATTGTTTAAAGCATCTGGTCTCACTCCAGATTTGGCAAATATTTCTAGGTTAATCTGGGAGGTTGACAAGAATCCTGCATGTTTGGATCAGAAAAGATGTTGCTTAAGTTTATCCCTCAATTGCTAATGCTGGCAATTGAAAAACAAATCATCTCACACTGAGCATTTGCAAATAGTATTAGTGTCTTAGAGTTGGAAAGCACAAGTGAGCACCAGAGTATTTCTTTCCTCTCTAAAATGTTAGATTTTGTAGTGATTTTTCTCTTAGTAGTTAAAATCTATTTAAAGTAACCTTTTGTGTGCATTTTGTCCAGCTTGCACCATTACCTCTTTGAATCCTAGAGCTATTGAATCAATTTAGATTGTTTCCTAAAAGGAGACTCTTACTCAAGTGTTACCAAGTGCCACTCTCCCTGAAATGTTTGAAATCTTGAATTTTATTTTTCCTTCTCCTTAAAAGCTATAGGAAACCAAATAGGAGACTATTTAAACTTTAAATAAGCACAAGCAGTGTCTACACAGTGTTGAACAAAAGGTCTGGCTCTGGAGTTACTTTTTGCAAGTAATTTTCCTTATTTCTGATTTTGTTTCACTTTCCATCTCATCTACCTTTCAGTTCTGAGACAGTTTGATTTGCACAAGCATAGGTTCCCTGCCTAAAAAAAGAGTGATCTTATTTATTTTTGCTTTAGTGTATTATTTCTTTTAAAACCTATACCTAGCTTGTCATTCACTCACAAGTCCTGCAAATGCATTTTCAGTTTCTTTTCTTGTGCATGTGGAATCCATCCCATTAAAATTTTGGTACCCACATAGTGGTGACTTTCATGTAAAAAAATGAAAATTCCAAAAAGTGACTGACTTTTGTGGGGCTTTTTCACAGCCAGATGGGCTCATAAGCTAGAGAATGTGGGTAATCAGGTACTCAGGCTACAAACCAGCTTTTTCAGTTATGGGGTTGGTATAAAGGTTTTGTCCATTCCCTGAATGTGGCTGAAACACAATGATATTTTATTGCAATGATAATGTTCTGCATCTCTGTTTGGGAGGGGGCAGGTGCAGTATTCAGAAAGAAAAACCTCTCCTACATCTACAGTTCTTGCCACTGAGAAACTTCAGTGGTGTTCCAAGAGTTTGTTGAGCTGCCTGGAAAACAAACTTTTGCTTAGTCTTGGTGTTTTTATGATTTCCAAAATAAAGCTTGAGCTTTTGTGTGTTAGAGTCTTTCTTTGCAATATAGCTCTCTATATTTGAATGAAGATAACTTTTTTCTAGAAAAATGTTGATGTCTCTAGTTTACTTTGGAATGAAGGCAGGCCTGCTATTTCTTTTCCAAAAACAAAAAAACTTCTCAGAAAGGGAAAGAAAACAAAAAGCAAAGGGAAGGGTGATTTCTCACACCAGTGTGCACAAACCACCAACATTCCATCAACTGTCTGGAGAGTAGGATGAAACAGGCTCTGATGTGGAACCCCTTCTGCTGTTAGCTCGTGTTTGAGAGACGCTTTGACACTATAATATAGGGTTGCAAATTGGAATTGCAACACCCTGCAATTGGGCCAAGTGATGAAGCAGCACAATAACTGCCTGCTTGATCTTACCACTCTCTCTTTAATGTGCATGTAAAAGATACCGGGAGCCTTTCCAGGCATCTGTCAGGGGATTTGATGCTGTGAGAGAGGGAACTGTGGGCTGTGTGTGGTTAATGTGGGTGTTTGTGTGTTTTACCAGCATTTCATATGGTGTGATAACTACAGGGCAAAGTTTCAGTTTATAACAGTTGGGTTTTGTTTATTATTAAAAGCTTATAAAAATAATAATTGAAATGGTGGATTATGGCAGAGAATGCAGTTCTTATGCTCTTGTCAATGGAGTTTCATGGGTAATTGGTCTAGACCTGTGCGTCGTCTTTAATATTTCATTTACTCCAGAGTATTATAACTCACTTCCTTTAAGGTGATTGCTGGGCTTTTTACACAGCTAAACTTGTGTTTAACCTTGCTGTGAGAATGTGACAGTAGGCTAGTTCAGACAGGTTAACATTCATTTGGTAACCAGCCTGCTTAATCAGCCTGCTTCAACCTGCAGCAAATTAAATCTCTGTGAGTTCTAGCAGACAAGTGAGAAAGTCGCTCTGAATTATGTATAAAAAATAAATGGGGTATTTTCAGTGCTCGTGGCAGTAAATGAAATTTTAGGCTTATGGTTTATTCTTGGATTTTTGTTGAGAATGCTTGAAATGTATTTTACTTTAATGTTTTTACAGTTCAGTTAGGAGAGTGCTATATTTCTGAAATGTATAATGTAAATATTTTGTTCTGTGCCCTGCAAAAATACTAATAAGTTTTACAGGATCTAGGTGTTTTTCTGTTCTCTCTGTGCTTCATCTGAAGGAACCATTAGAAAAGAAGTTTTAAACATACAACCAGCACTACCATATCACTGAAATTTGCATAGCATTAAATACTTTGTCACTGCCAAAGCCAATCAATTTATTTAAGAGCTACTCACATTGTAAAATCGGTCCAAATAGGTCTTAGGTGCTTCTGAAATTGCTGTTTGTGGTCATCAAGCTTGCTTCTCCTGGGCTGATGTGCTCTCCAGAAGAGGCAGGAGGCTGGGCAGAAGCTTTAAATTCAGGGATGGCACAGGTGGTTTTGGTCACAGAGTGGCCAGATTAGTGTATTTTTAAATGCAATATAGGACCAGATTTTCAAATATTATTGCTGTGTGTTTGCAGGCATCATAATAACTTTGTCTTTCAAATGATAGTTGAATTTTTCTGTTGGTAGTTCTTAAAATTGAGATGTAGGCATACAGCAAAGGGCAGAAGTGCTGTTTCTGTTGGCACTGGCTGCTGATCATCCATCCTGGGGACTGTGCTGAGTGCAGTGTCACCAGTTTGGGCTGTGTGTCTTTGTTCTTATGAGGAACATGGTGTGCATTGACATTTAAAATGACCAAAAAAGAGATAAAATATATTTTTTAAGTTGCCAATGTGATTGTGTTATTGCAATGTCTGCTGATAAACAGATCTTTCAAAACATAATTTTTTTTCAAGATGATTCAAATGTTTTTAATTACTTGTGTCAGTACTTTGCATCTTTAACAATTGTTTCTTGATTAGCAAAAAAATCAACATTTGCATAGCATAGCACCATAAAAGTTGCCATGTGCAGTAACATTTCAAACTTCAGTACTGCTTCAGGAGAAAAGAACAACTCAAGGCCCTTTGGAGTTTGCAGTTCCATGGAATTTGTTTTGATACTCTGTGCATACACCTCAGTGAAACTCCACTGATGTTTCCTTGAATATTTTAATGTAAGGAATCATTTTCGTTTTTCAGGCTTCTTAATATGTGTTTAAATAATGCATCTTTAATTTGAATCTCTAACAACCTTAAACCCTCTCCTCAACCTTTGACTGAGACTGTGGCTTTAATGGAGAATCACTGCTTGCCTTGTAGATGACTTTAGCTGTGTCAGGAGTGACTTTTCCTTGCCATCGACTCACAGTTGGAAGGAGATCTTCACCTGTACAAACAAGGGAGCAGTCAGAGGAGGTAAGGACATCTCCTTTGTGTTACCAGTCTGCCCTAGGAACAGGCAGGGACACCTCAGGGTGCAGTGGTCACCATCCCTTTTGTGGTGGTGAGTCAATGGGATTGCATCTTACAACAATCCATTTACAGTTCCTGCAATTGTGACAAAGTGAGGAACTGGGCAAAGGAGTCATTGAAGATAAAGAGGAAAAACAAAGCAAGCAAACCCTAGCAAAGCATCTGACTGTGGGAGATGAGACCTCATCTCCTTGCACTAAAATTTTGATTTTTCTTCTTTATATGGGTATTCCAAATACCAATATAAAAGCCACCATTATGTAGCTTTTCTCCCTTTTTCTTATGCAGTTAGACCATCTCTGGTACTATTAGATGGAAAAACAGCATTGAATTTGGATAAAATTTGCTTAACTATGTTTATGCAGAGATTCTTTAATAATGCATTTTGTCACATAATATTGCTCTCAACCAGACTTCTATTAAAAATTACTTTTGATAATGCTGTATAAAATAGTAAATTAAACTGTAGTATATTATGTGTATTTGTCACTATGTGTGTGTTTTGTATTTCACTGAAAATGTCTGAAAAGAAGCTTACCGTGGATTTTGGGTTTTGTTTTTATACAGCAATGCACTGATGTTCATATGGTTAGTGATAGTGATGGAGATGACTTTGAAGATGCTACTGAGTTTGGAGTTGATGATGGAGAAATGTTTGGAGTAGCTTCATCTGCCTTGAGGAAATCACCAATGAGTAAGAGTTACAATTAACTGGAGCTTGTACAGCAGAGGCGAAAGCAGAGAGGTGGGAGGCGTCTGCAGAATTAGAAACTGAAAAGTATTTTTTGATAGGAATGGTAGAATTGTTTGAATGACATGTCTCATGGATGTATCAAAGGAAAATACTGCATACATAACTGGCAACTATAAAAACACCTTTCCATGGAGGGAAATTTTTAACATTGAAACTGAAGAATAATAATTGAACTTAAAATAGATGAGTAACAAATAAGGTCAGAGAAATTGCGATCTCTATCCAAATGCACCTGTAGATAACTAGATTTCCACTTCCCTGTTTTGAAAATTCTACAGATTCTGTTTTTGATTGTTTTAGTCATTATGCTAATCAAATTTCTCAGTGATTATTTGCCCTTGAATTATGAAAAAAATTGAACAGGAGCAGTCAGTTACCTCCTACAAGCAATTCTTGCATACTCTTTATTTACTTTAGGCTTACCTTAGAGTTACTTCATTAGAGGTTTTTTTAATATGGAAGTAATAATATGGAAAACTCTTTAACATTTTCAATAGGGAGGGTTGAGCCTTTCAAGCCTTAAAGAAAGGCCAGAGTACAAATTCTAAGCAAGTGATATATCACATTACACTGGACCTGAGGATTTTACTGTTAGGAAAACCTGAATATATTCATGACACCCTCTGGAAATTTCTTGTCTTTTGAAAGGTTCATAGTCAATAGTCTGTCATGACGTTTATATGGTTTCTTGGTAACACTTGAGTAAGCTGGGAACATGAAATACCTGTGAAGTGAATGTGTTTGCATATTACAACCTGTTTCCATAGAGTTGCATTTCTTTTCTTTTTTTCCCCCATTTTTTAAGTGCCAGAAAATGCTGAAAATGAAGGAGATGCCTTATTACAATTTACAGCAGAGTTTTCTTCAAGGTAAGCTTAGCCTGCTAACTGTGCAATTTTTATTACAAACTCAGTTAAAGTTAGTAAATAATGAAAGTAAGAATAAACCAAGTCTACATGTTTTCTTGTGAGATCATAGCGTATTTTGACATCCTAATCTAATTTATTTTAATTCTAACTCTGCTGCTAGAACTGCTTCTGAAATAAAATTATTTCTCAGCCTAAACTGGAGTGGTTGATTCTTGTCTTATTTATTTTTGCCACCATGTAGTACCATTACCTAATTATGTAAAGGACCAGAAGGATGAGAAAGACTGGTTATGTATGATAATTTTATTATGATATGCAGGAACAGAAAAGCTGGAATTTATTAAAACTGAAAAATAAATACATAGTTGCTGTAGGAGTTTTCACAATAACAAAGTGGTTGGGTAAATATTGACTTATAAAAAACAGAGGTCGTCTGGATTTTTAAAAAACTTTATACTTCCAAATCATGCACTGTTAAACAGTTGCTTGTTTCATTGAATAGGTAGAAGCTGCAAAATAGTGCAAAGTATATGTGCCTTCTGCTTTCACTCCTGTGATGAAATATTCCTTTATGTGTGTGAGATACATTAATGTGTAATAGAAGACTGGCCTTCAATTCATCTTTAAGAATATAATAAAGAAAAGAAAGAATTTGAAAATTTAATAGAAATTTTATAGAAAATTGTGTAGAACGTAAGGTATCTACATGTGTAAACAGAATGTTTTTATGATCAAGTTTGTAAGGTAGTAGTTCATTACTTTTGAGTTTTTCAATGTCAGAAAACAAATGGGTCCTAACTATTTTCTTTCTTTAGAAGAGTAGTACTCATCTTTCTAAAGATTTAGCCAATGCATCATATTTGCAGAATATAGGAAAATGTAGAATATTGAAATTACTTGATTTTGGCCTTTTTTATTAATTGGAAATTTTATCTCAAATAGATATGGTGACTGCCATCCTGTTTATTTTATTGGATCATTAGAGGCTGCTTTTCAAGAAGCCTTCTATGGGAAAGCTAGAGATGTAAGTGTGTATTAAACCTACTTTATTTAAAATAGTGGGGGAATGGATATCACCTTATGGGTTTCATCTTGATTTTTGAAAAGCTGAACTACATTTTGGAGTTATTTTGCTTCTATTGTTCGAGAAGAGTTGCACTAATTCAGTGACTGACTAAAATACTTACCTTGGTGGTTGCTGAAGTTGCAGTGAATAACTGATGTTTTCTAATCATTCAGGCTGTATTTTTACTGGAGTTCTTTAGTTGTCAAATCTACTCATTTTCTTTTCCCCTCCTTCCTTTTCTTCCTGAAATAATGGTGTCCTAGCACCAGATAACCCTGCCTGTGAGCCTTATGCTTGACAAGTTCACTGTTGCATGTTGGTAACTCCTTTGAAGAATGGCTAATGAAATTGTAAATTTAAATTGGAAGCTCTCTCAAATACAGTGTGCCTATTTTCCCCCTTTGTACAGCCTTTATCTGCCAAGTAAGTTCCAGTACTAAGGTTTGGTTGTTTACTTTTTCTGTACATCCAACCAGGCATCTCAAGTTTCTGTTATTCCACGCACAGTTTTAAAATCAGTATTTTAATAAAATTAGAATGGGGACAGTTTATTTGAGTTTTGGTGACTTGATTCACTAAGGAGAAACCCAAAACCCTGCATAATTAAGCACAGATAAAGCTGAAACACAAACAAGAAAATCATGCTGTTTAAATTTACTTTTTGTTTTCCTGATAGATGTTTAATTTTAAAAGGAAGAATGTAGTTAATCATATTGGAAGGAGCCTCTATTATGTTAGGGGCTGTTCTGATAAGTGTGAGAGTTATAAATGCACACTCTATAGCTGAAGTTGGCACATACTTAACACTAAGTTCAGTGAATATTTTCATGTCTTTGCATAGAGAAAGAAATCCTGTGAATTAAACAAGGAAAGGGTGTGAGCTGGGAAGTTCATTTAGTGTCATGTTATCAGAAATGGTTGACAGTATATCAGTGTAATAGTGGACAAAAGCTCCTAAAGGACTTTCATTAACAGTTTTCTACCTATAAATCTGATATTAATGCAGTGCAGTTATTTCATTTTTTTGTTGCTCAAAGTGCAGTTAGTTTTTTGTTGCTCAAAATACTTCTTGTGCTACTTACATACCACTTTTGAAATTTGCGTCACCTTACATTTTTAATATTTCATTATTTATTCAGACCAGGTCATCATCACAATAAAACCATTGTGTGTACATATATATATATATGTATATTTAGGAGACTATTCATTTTTGTTTGCCTTGTTTGAATTCTGAATATTTGACTTCAATATTTTTTCTGAATTTTGCCTTATTTTGAAAGCCCTCCCTCCCACCTTTGGAATGGCATATTTTTTTTTGTAACATTCTGATTTTAAGCAAAGATATGAGAATGTGGAAATACAATTTATTTTCACTGCTTTTCCCCATTACAAAGTAATTTTTTCAGTACTGCCTCCTGGAATTCAGAATTGAGGAAAGGGACACATTATTCCATATTTGTATAATTTAATTTCCTAAAATAATTTTAAAAATATATATCAGTATAAAAAAAACCTTTGGAGAAATTGCAACCTGTGTGTCTTGTCTTCTAATTTATACTATGGAGGGCACTTAATTTTACCAGGGCAACAGATGAGCTGCAGGCACCAGCATTCTTCACTTGAAGTGAGAAATTGAGTTCCAAGAGTAAATAAAAACAAGATTGAAGGTTTAAATCCTCTACTAGGCTTTTTGAACTTATATACTCATTAAATGTTTATTGGAGTGGTGGGATTACGAAGGATTTGGGCTGCTTCATCAACTGGTATATACTTAATCACTAAGTAAAACACTACATTTGATAGAGTGTTTCTCACGATGCCACACTCAATCCATCTTAATGAAAAACGCTTCAAACTGATTTAATTTGAGAGCACTTGGCAGCTTGAGTGCTCAGAGATCTTGGCCTTTTCTTGACAAATTCTCAACTCTGTCCAGAGCAGAAGGTGCACTCTGCAGTTCATGTCTACTGAGACAGCCATCAGCTGTGTTTTAAATCTGTACTGTGGATACTTTTTACCTAAATAAAAAAAAAAAAAAAAAAAAAGCCCAATGTGTAAAAACATGAAGATTTTTTTCCAGGAATATTTTAATTTGGGTTATTTAAAGAAAATTAACGTATGTCAGAACATGGGTTTTGAATGCAGAATATAAGTTCAATTTCTTTTTACAAAAATAGATTTTTCCTGTTAAATCTCATTGTCATTTCCTGTGTTGGAAAGGCTGGTAATTCATAGTTATTTAACAAAATGTTGCTTGAAAAAAGAAATACCTTGTAAAAAAAGTTGAGGTGTTTATCTGCTGTGTTTGAGTTGTTAGCCAGTGAAGATTAACTTACATGATGGGTATCTTTTAACCTTTGGAGCAACTGCTGCCACAGTTTTATAACACTGCCAGTTTTTGGTAGTAGAGGTGGAGTGGGGTCAAATGTGGCTCTGCTTTAAAACCTGTATAATTCTTTACCACAAAAATACAATACCCAAGATATAGAGCCTTGCTTTTAACAGCCAGTGTCCTTGGCCATGAAATTCCCAGCTGCCTCCAGCAGCCTGATAGTTCAGGATGTTGTGTATTCATTTCTTATTGTATATATGACAATAAAATATTTTCAGTATTTCTTTTAATGGGGTCAGGAAGAGAAAGAGAGACAGAGGTTTATTAAATCAACAATTAAGCTGGTTTTTGTGAAAGTCTATTGGAAAGAAGAGTTTCCCTGTCAGTAAGTTTCTGAAGAATGGGCTTACTCTTGCTACAGAGCTACTTGTCACAGGAATTGCTACACCTGATGCCATGGAAGAAATCCTGTAACAGACATTTTTTAATAAGGTGTTTGGGGAAAGTGTTTTTGTTTCTGAAAGCAGTTTGTGGGTGTCTTGTGTTCTGAGGCATCAGAGGGTTTATCCTAACTTATGGTGGTACTGTTATTAATACTGGATTTTAATTGCTATATTGAAGCTTACTGAGTTATATATGTGGGTGATACTGAAGTATTTTCTTTTATTAGAGCTTGTTTGTCTTTTCATTTTTATAGGTGGTTGCTACTCTTTTATTGAGAGAAAGAATAAAGACATTGCCTTTGCCTTTTCAGGAGCTCTTATCTTTATATATCTCTGTCAGCTCACCTCCTGCTCCTCTCTCAACCTTTCTGTCCACTGACTTTTAATAAATATGTGAAACATCTCTCTTAGCACAGATTGGTATTGTCACCTCAATATATATTCCTGCATTCTGAAAATGAACCGTGTTTTTCTTCTCCTTGAATTCTGTCTTTTAGGTTCAATTTAGAGGCAGCACCATCCCTCTCACATATGGGTTCTTTATTTCCTGAATACCTAGAGCAAAGTGTGCTCCTTCCATGATTTGGTGTGTTCAAATAAAAGCTATTTTTTCCCTCTTCCTTGGTGGTAGCAGAATATTCCTTCATACAGGGCTTTCTGTAGCATCATTTTTATCTGTGTAACTCAGAAAAATGTCCATTATTATTTCAGCTTAATAAATTTATACTGAACTTATTACAGATTGCAGCTGGAGGAATTACCACTTTACAGATTCTGATTAAACATAAATAACCTGCCCACTAAGGTCTCATTGAAACTGGAGGAGAGGTATAGAAGTATAATTGTAGCTTTTCAGGAAGAGTGAAACAGCTGCACTATGGCAAATATCAGTACATGTTCTCCAGTTAAGTCCCATGTTAGTCACCATTTTCTTTCCAGTCTTGCCTGATGTGTGTTAGCAGTTCTGTCCTTTAATTTGTAAATTATTTCTGAATTTGTGAATAACTATAATTTAGAAATTTCTACAACACCAGTTTAGTAGCTTCACTGTTTGCCTACACACCCTTCATTTTCCATATCTAAAGAGTAGCTTCATCTTTCATATCTGGAGGGTTGCTCCCAGGTATGGGTCTCTCCTCAGCATCCTCTGTATTTGATACTAAATAATGGAAATTTTTGAGCTTGTCTGCCTCACTCTACATTTTCTCTTCTTTCAAAGCTTGTGATTATAGATCTTATCTGGGTTTGGTGTTAATTACTGGATACTATTTGAATTATGTAAATATCACTACAGATGTAATTGATTGAAATGGAGATACAACAGTATAATAGGATCAAATAATTGGAAGATGAAAGTAGACTAAATCAGGCTTTAACACACCTTTACCTGGGAGAATGGGTAGCTGTTTGAACACCTTACCATGGCTCCTGTGGATTCTTCATCACTGATGGACTTTTGAGACTAGATGTTGGTAAAATGACAGGAAGATTAAACTAGGACCTAGTTTGGGGATGTCTTATGCCACATTTAATACAAAAGATGGGATCAGAAGTTTACAGGGGCGACATCACTCTTACTTTAGTAACCTGTGGGGTACAGTTATTTTCAGAGTCTTCTGCAAGGCTAGGTAAAGTAGCTGTGTCCAAAGGCTGATCCCATGAGCTCCAAGATCACCTTGGACGGGTGGAGCAGATTGTGCACTTCAGAGATTTAAAGAAGGGCAAATGCATCCCTTTGTTTCTTGAAATTAATTCTCACTGCATAAAACCTGGAGGAAAAAAATTTTGATTTGTTAGCCTACCAGTTTGACAGAACATTCATGCCTCTAGCAGCTGTTCCATAATGAAATTTTCTGTCTCAATAATTTCTTGAACTTGTAAACCTGAGATTCAGAAATAACCATTCAGGTTTATGATTTTGCTGACCCCTATGATTGCATTCCTATTCCCATTCAAGTTCATATTCTTTTGAGTTATCGGAGTTATTCATAGTATTAGGAAGTGGCTGAGAAGCTTAGAAATCCCATTACCCACTGATGCAAATTTAGTCACCTCAAGATCTAAAAAACTGAGGGTTTTTTCCCTCAGTGACAACTTTTTCTTAAACTCTGCATCATGACAGCTTTTCTTCTAATTCTGTACAAAGTGTGCTAACTTCTCTGAAGCTTTAATGCCTAGTCTTCAGCATACATTTACTCAGAAAAATGCATCTCTTGGTGACTTAAGTTCCTCAAGTCCTAAGGCCCTTGGACTTGAGTTATTCAGTGCTTAAAACCTTTGTAGGGACTAGTAAAAGTTTTTCCCTGTTGTATTTTTTTTCCTTGTTTAAAATTTCATGCTAAGTATACAACCTCTGAGTTATATTTTTGAAAAACCCAACACAGAACAGTCTAGTGCTCCATTAGTAGGCTTCTTTTGTGTAATTTGAGACTGTTCCAACAGTTTTGTAAGGCTGTTTTAATAGTTCAAAATTTACTTCAAAATACCCAGTATTAGTCATAATAGAATCCTAGAATTTACTCTGATTTTTCTAAGGCTTCAAATAAACACAACCAAAACTTACTTATAAATATGTGCTACCATGGGTTAGTAAAATAAACAAACATGAAAACAAACCCACACAACAACAACAAACTTCAAGCTGTGAGCCTGTTGCAATCATGTGTTTATCCAAGGAAAAAATGCCCCTGGGTTTCACTAATATTTTTCAAAATAATATTTTAGCACTTCAGGTCCTCCTCCTACCTCTTTGCATTTATGATAGCAGTATGCCTGTGCCCACCCTTGACATTTTAGATGAAGTATCAGATACAAGGACAGTCTTTTATATGTGATGGAGTTTAGTCTTTGCATAGTCAGGTTTGTTGATGCAACAAAAAATACATTCCCTTGGGAAGTAACTCAGTGTAAACCTCCATTGTGTTTGTGCCTGTTCTGTTTACTGAAATTTGTCCCTAAATCTTTAAGCCTAAAACTGTACATATTTTGAAACATTCTGTTGTACGGAATCTCATATTTAACAGTTTCATGGGGTTGTTTCTTTGGAAGTAAAAGTGTTTCTCAAGAGCCTTTTTTTCTGTCCGCTCCCAGTGAAAAGAGGAGAGCAAAGCCATCCGCTTACCACAAAGCAGTGCCACCACAAAGGAAAGATTAAGGGTTTAGAGAGAGGTCAATGTGGGTTTTTCTCTAACTAAACACTTTCCTAAAGTTTCCTTGTGGAAAAAATAATGAAGTCATCTCAGAGTTTTTAAAGAATTTTTATTTCTTTTTCACCGTCTGCATTCGCTTGTCTTCTCAGCATGGATGTTTAATCTTTCTAGGCTTTGTGAATTGGTCCAAATGAATAAGTGGTGAGCTGTCTCTCTAGGAGCTAGAGGCTTATTCTAAGGCCCTAATCACTGAGTAAACACATCTTTGCCCTCCCTCTCTTACAACTGCTATATAATAGTCGAGATTCTAGCACAGTAACCTGGATATTGCAGGGATCGACGCTTTGAAATGCAGAACGGCTGATCCTCAAAAACAGACAGTGCCTGATCTTCCCCTGCCTCTTTCTTCTTTTTAAATTAAATATCACCACAGAAATGCTGTTTTATTGCATGATATTGTGCATCAGTGCCCTGGATTTTCAAGTTTAGTTTCAGTCAACATTGTTGGCTGCACTTATATGGATCTCTGCATGTTGGGCTTATTAATGGCCCTTCCTGGTACATGTATATGTGGTTCTGAAGAACATTTAAATTAAATTAGACAAACAGTAATGCAAATTACTAATCCCTTTCTCAAAGTCGAATGTTCAAATGTTCCTTTTATAAACAGTCATTAAATTTTATCCAAAGCCAGTATATGAGGCGAGAGCCCTACGGGGGTTTTCTGCAAAGACAGCTGATCTGGAAATTGCATCCCATGTCTTGCTATATCAATACACATCAATATCTAGGGTTCAGTGTTACTTCTGATGAAGATTTGAAATTACTTTAAATAAAAGTCTGAAAATAGCACCATATCATCTCAGCAAATATGTTCAAGTACTATTTTAAAATAAAGTAATTTATATGGGTATGCGGGAATGGAAAGCTGTAATTTTCTGAATTATATTTATAATTCATTGAATGCCAATTGCAGAATCACAGTCCTTAGCTAGCTCATTGTCTCCCTGTATATTTGCAGCCTGCTTTCTATATTTACATGCACACAGACTTGTTTTCCAAAAGGTGGTCAGAGATTTTCATGAGGACGCAGCTGCTGGCAGTGAAGATCAAGTTTTACTTGATAGAGTTCCAGAAGAACAGCACAGAATATTTTGTTTCAAGAGACCATAAACACCAACTCAACATGTAGGGCCTCTTTTTTGGCTACAGAGGTAGTGATAGCAATGCACTATCATTTTTTTCAGGTTATTTATAACTGTTTTTTGTTGTAGATGCTGTCCAGTCAAGAGGCATGTTCCTTGTTCACAGAAATGCTATTTTTGTTGGGCAACAAGCCAAAAAAATTCACTCATTTCTTAAGTCTGTTAATAAGGTTTTTGTTTTTCATTTGTTGTTCTTTTCATATTCTAAGCACATAATATATTGTATTTTAGTACTCAGAATATTAGGAAGCATTAAGAATATTTAAAAATTTGCAGGGATGGACCATTTGACTTGAAATCTGCTGATTATTTCTTGTGTTGAGATACTTGTCACCCTTGATAAATCCCATTGTGAGTACTAAAACACAAATCTGCAGCAGCAACTTTAAATTGTAGATTGTTTGAGGAACTTTTCATTCATCTCTTGTCACATTTTTTCCAGAGAAAGCTTCTTGCTATCTACCTCCACCATGATGAAAGTGTACTAACCAACGTCTTCTGCTCACAAATGCTTTGTGCTGAATCCATTGTCTCCTACCTGAGTCAGAACTTCATAACCTGGGCATGGGACATGACAAAAGAAGCAAACAGAGCAAGGTGAGACTCTTTGGACTCTGAGTGAAACAGCTTTTCTCAGGGAAGGCCCTTATCTCTGACTATCAGATCTTTTGGTGCTTAATATCTATTTGAGCTAAAACTTCGTGCTCATTCTCAGCTGATCAGTGGAGCTGTGCTGGCTGACATTCATTAAGATTTGGACTGGCCTTGTGTTAATCACAAAGTGACTTCTTATTCCTGTGCAGGAAAAAGTAATTGAAGGAATTATTTCCTTTCTTTTTTTGGTTTATTTTCAAATATTATTCTATATTCAAACGTATGCCTTCACAGTTATGCCCTGCAATGCCATAATATTACATGGCATGAATTGTGTGTATGTTAGTGTAACTGCACAAGAGTTGTCTGGGGTAATAACTATTGTTAATGAAAATCATATTTTAAAAATAACATTTGTGTGATAAATTAGTATTAAGAACAGATTATGCAAAATGTTGAACACTTGCAATTCATGTGAACTTTTTTTAATTACATTTTTCTTACAGAAAATTCCTTTGGGAATGTTCAGATATTTTGGTTTTGATATAATAAAAACTATCTTATGTCTTAGAGAGACCATAATTTTGCTGATGAGTAAAGAAATTAAAACTGTAGATTCCACCTCCTTCTACAACTTTTGTAGATAACCTACAGATTTTCTTAGTGTTTTACTAAGGCTTCTCTCTTATTTAGTTATCAGTTGATCATGATCTACTGAAAGTAATGCTATTATTATTGTTATTATTATTATAACATTTAAAAATCATAGTTGTTTGGTTCTCTAACTTGGACCTTATTTCATAACCTTTATTTACCCAGATGATGACTGATCATGTCTTGCCAGAATAACATCCTATGCATATTATTCTAATTTTTGACTGAAAGATGCAACAGTCATTTGGCCTGGAATAAGGCTGCCACTTCTTTACACTATTCCAGTGATTATTGAGCAAGGAAAATTATACATTTATGTTTCTTTCTCTTGTGGATTACTAGTATAGAGCATTTATGGATTTCTGGTCTTCACTATGTTAATATTTCTTTACTGAAATGACCTTGGAGAATGGAATAGTCTCTTTTTCTAATGTGCTTTTTAAATGACCCTTTGTGTTTCTTAGGAATTCCTCACTTGACCTTCTGCATTTTGTCATTGGAGGGATCAGCAGCAATGTTTCTAGTTAGAGTTATTCTAGAGAAGTGTAAAAGGTTATGGAAAAAAGCAGTTACAAAAACAGATTAAAAGTTTCTGAAAAAGAAAAAAAAAGTGAGAGGGAAAAGAAACATCTAGGTTCTTTCATAGGACCAAATACATAGACTGGAAAGTTGCTTAAGTCTTTTGGTATTGCCATTCATGGGCAGTAAGGAGCCTCCTCCTTTTCTTTTATCCCACAAGTTGGTGTAGAAGGAAACACTATTTCTAAACCATCTGTAGTGGCTAAGTTCAGCTGACTACCTGCTGTTCTATTGTCTGCTCTTCTATTTAATTCTCTAGATTCTTTTATTTTACAATGACAAAAAATTGCAGTGTAGTTTCTTTTGAAAAACTGTGTTTGAGGGGTTTTTTATGACTAACGATCAACAGCCATGTAATTGCTTTGTTGTGTTTTACTAAAGAAATCTATTAAGTAGCACAACTTTGATACACTAGTAATAAGAGTTTGCAGGTTACACAGACACCTGTGGTGACCAAAGCGACAGAAGCTGCTTGTTAGAAAGAGCCTGTACAGCTGTGTCCTATTAACTCCTTATGACACTTCTTAAAACACAAAATAAAGGGCTTGTTTAAGGCTTTATAGCTGCTCTCAATGAACTTAGTCCCTGATTGTGCTGGACGATAGGGTTTTTAAGCCTTCATTTTTTTGCTTTCTGTTAACAACAACAAAGAAACTGTCATATTAACAGTGAGGTCAAAAAATAGTAAGGGGTAAACAAGGCATGCTGGCTCGAATTAGAATAATTTCTCAGTTGTGTTTAGTGTCACATCCTGCTCCTTAGACTGTGATTTCTTCAGAGGGGGTATGATGCTTCCCTCTCCCTTTGGAAAGTGCCAGTGCACTGTGGGCATTCCCATAAATAGATGCTCAGTCCCTCTGTTCAATCACTACCCTTCAGTGACAGTGGTCTTGGAGCCCATTCTGTTCTGTATCCCTGTGAACACAGTTAATTTTAGCCTTTTATTTGAATGCTGAGAAGACAACAGCAACAACAAGAGGAACTGGGTTTTGCCTGCTGGTGTAGCCCAAGAGTAATTCATTTATACTTACAATTGTATTGTAAAAATGCTGGAAAAGCCAGGGTGGGACAGCAGAGGAATCAGGCCCACTTGATTTACAGCAGTCAACAGAGACACCTCAGTAGTAAAGACATGGTTTCAGTACTGTGGGATGGCATGAGTAAATTCAAACAGCAATAAAGACTTTCCTTATATAAGCCAAAAAAATCTTCATAATGTTTTGACCCATGAATGTCATTCTATTCCAAAATTAGTCCTAATAGTAATTTCCCATCTTCTCATTTATGAAATGAGGGTCCATCCTGAACACTGTAGAACAAAACCAGCTCCAAATTCATGTAATTTTCCCCAATTTTTAATGTGTTTGTCATCTGACACTGATACAGGAATGTGCTTTAAAACCTGCATTACTGCACAATCTGGAATCTCTCAATCTTCAATATCCATTCCAACAGACTGAAGAGAGTCTGTAGGTAGGAGTAAAATGCTGTGAGAGTGCTGGGTACCTGCCAGCAGCAGTGCAAGAGCATAGGCATTACAACTTTGGGAGTCAGATACTAAAATATTTCTTTCTGCAGCCATGCAGCACTGTTACTTTGTAAAAATGAAGGAGAAGTCTAATTAATACAGTTTATTCTAATTAATACAGTTATATCTAATACAGAGGGGAAGTTTTGTTCTGGCTTCCATGGGTTTTAATTGCCTCTGACATCAGGTTTGCAGTGAAGGGAGCTGTTACTTTGAGTAAGTTCTGTGATTATGAATTTATTCATTAATCATAATAAAATTAGAAGAAAAGGAAAATAAAATAAGTATCCTTCATTTAGGAAAATAATGTGGTTATTTTATAATACAGTTAAGGAATAGACGTGAAATCTTTATCTCCTATAATTTAGACTTCAGTTTAGGGAGCAGCTCTTTGAAATATTCTTGTGATCTGTTCCTGTCAAAGGAGGAAAAAGGCTACAAAGCTACACATATATCTCTAACTTTAGCTCTTGTTATAGTCCAGTCAATTTGAGGTGAATCATGAGCTGAAAAATTGTTTCCTTTCAATTGCTTGAGTGAAGATTGCTACCATGGCCCTTCAGACAGCAGAAATTTGGGGGGATGTGTCAGGGTGGAGGCAGTGGGGCTTGACTGCAGTGGTGCTGGCAATTCTGGCCCTGCCATTGCTGGCCCAGTGCAACACACACCTGCAATGGGCCATCACTTGGGCTGGGCAATTCCTCAGCTTTCCAGAGGGATTCTGGGATGGATAAGCAGGAGAGCCACACATGAGCAGCTCTAGTTCTGGCAGTTTTTACTTCAAAGAGTTGAGTCAATACCATTGTTCTCATACAATTATGTGCATGAGAGTTGTGTATGTTTGTGCAAACATATGCCTAACTGGTTTTGTTAATTCGTTAATGGGCATTAATATATTTGTATCCAGGAAAGATGTATATATATATATATATATATATATATATATATATATACACATGCACACATACCTTATATTGGTACACACAGCATTTACAAACACTGATAATGCATAATATTAAGAGCTTTCCAGCACACATGGTGTTTGTTAAGCAAAGCCAAAAACCATAAGACAGCAACTCAAAAATCTGTAGCAGCTTTTTAGCTTTTGATATCATTGCCCTTGGGCACCGTATTTCAAGGTGTTGCCAATTTTTCTCTGATGACAGGTATTTGTTATTTATAATGTTTAAATGATAGTTTTTCACTTTGTTAAGCTTAGGAAAGAGTTAATTCACTAAAGTGCTTCTCAGCAGCAGGTTGTCTTCACCTGCAATTTCCCTCATCAAGTGATTAGCCATATTCACAGTTGCTGACCCTTAATTCTAACCTACTGAATGATGCATGCCTGGATGAAGACCAGTTGACCATATTACTCCAGCTCCCCAATCCCATTTGATCCTTCAGCAAATATATTGCAGGTGTGGGGTCTGTGAGAGCAGGGGGAGGTGAGTTAATTTCTCACTGCCTCTTCAGGAGTGACCATGGATTCTGTATATGTTGCTTGCAAAACTGTTGGACGTGTTCTTTAGGCTCTAAATCCTTAACAGGTTTCACAGAGCAGTGTGAAAACCTTTTCTATTGTATCCTGCATTTTTTTATTTAATTTACTTTAATAGCAATACAGTGCCAGTCAATAAAAACAGGTCAGAAGTCTAATTAATGTTTTAAAAATAAAGGTTCTCAAACACCAGGCGAGTTTGTCATTTTCTGTATGGTTTGTTTTGAGGAGGAAGAGGAAAGAAGGTGAGGAGGGAACCCTTCTGTTCCATGATTACATCCCACCCGCTCATTTTCTCCTTTTCTCCTTTGCTTTTGATTTTAGTGGCGGTCTTAACAGAATGTCAAGATCAATTTGCAGCATGGTTTAACTCAAGGTTTGCATTCTGCCAGCAGCAATTGTCCTACTGAACAATGCCGTGTGTTCTTGTAACTTCAGAAGCTTTTAGAAGGCTCATGGCAAGGGCAGCATCTAATGACTTTATTAGGGTAGGGTTTCAAAATGGACTCGGTAATTGTTCGCATCTCTTTGTCATTTAGTCATAATTACTGCATAGTATTGTTCAGGGTTGCACTTGTGAATAGTTTCCTAATAGCACTGAAACGAAGGGAAAAAAGGAAAAGGATAAAAGGTGATTGTCTCTTTAGATGGAGAACAAAACAGCCTGTATATAGATGATGGTTAAACTGTTTATTATACACCCACCAGAAAAGGTAAACTATCCCTGCTTAAATATTTATGTGC